TAGCAACAACTACTTTTAAAACCTGTGTTGAGCTCACCCTAACGAGGCAGTGCTGAAATGCCAATACAGGAATTGCTCTCTGTGTGATATATGCCTCTGTTGCCATCTGGTAGCTCACCATTCTCAATTGATACTACTCAGTAACTAACCAGCTTGGTGCTAATAAATCAAATGTCATGCTGATGTTTTAAAGGAAGGTACAGCTCCCCTGGATTTATGATCTTATTAAACTTGGCCATGCACAGGGGATTAAGACAGATTGTTTAGGGGCCCCGGATTGGACTCGCAGGCTACCATTAGCACGTCTCAGAATTCATCAACAGAAAGAGAGAAAAACCTCATTGATAGAAGTTGTGGAGATGGAAGTGGAGAGACTCTGGGGCTCAGAAGTGTCTATCAATGATGCAACTGGTCAGAAGAGCACTGTGTTCCCATTCTGAGACCAAGGTATAGAAGAAAATTAATTGAATGAATGACACGCTTTTTGTAACAATTTAATTAGGAATAGCTGCTATTAGGGTGAGCTGTACTTTGCTGATGTTTTTCAGTCGAGTGTAATTTTAACAAAATCAACAAATGGAAATATCTAAACCTGGGTATGAACATGTATAGACACACATCACAGAATGCATGGGAAATGCAATCTCGGCTGTTCTTTTGAAGGGATGGAACGGTAAGGACAGTGCTTGTCATTTTCAGTTGGGAGAAGAAAGAGGGCTCTCAACAGACCATACCCTCTACAGACTGTAGGACAGATCTTGTCTGGTAGAGGAGGTATCAAGTGGAGATGGCCAGGGGTCTGCCCTGGGTCCAGTATTATTTAACATTTTCATTAATAATTTGAATGGTAGGAGTGCATGCTTAGCAAATTTGCAGCTGACACCAAGTTGGGTGGAGTTGCAGAGACTTTGGAGGGCACAGCTAGAATCTGGAACGGTCTAAAATCAATTATAGTGAACAAAGAAAAAAGCAACACCCTGTACTTGGGACAAAATGACATGTGACTGAATAATTACATTTGACTGAAAAACACACAACCTGCGGAAAGATTGGCAACTGCAGAGAACCCATGGGTTACAATGGACCATAACCTGAATGAGTCAACTATGTGCTCTTGTTGCAAAAAGGCCAACCGTATAATGGTTTGTATTAACAGCAGCATCTCTTGCAAATCAAGGGAAGTGATTCTCCTGCTCTATTTGGCATTGGTGAGACCTCACCTGGGATACTCCATCTAGTTTTGGGCCCCACACTTCAAAAAAGATGTGGACAGATTTGAGTCCAGTAGAAAGTGACAAAAATGATTAGAGGATAGAGAAGTACGATTTACAAGGAAAAACAGAAAGAATTAGGATTATTTAGTCTGGAGAAGAGAAGACAAGAAGAGGGGAATGAGACTAGGAGCAATGGCGTCTTTGATAATTACCTAAGTGTTAGATCAGGCTGCCTAAAAAGGTAGAAATTCCATCCATGGAAATTTTCAAAAGCAGTTCAAAGCAGTCTGTCAAAAGACAGACACATGACTGGGATTGTTTAGTCAGGGATGATCCTGCCTTGACCAGGGGTGCCAGACTAGGTGACCTAGTGAGGCCCCTTCGATATCTATTTTCCTATGACCTTACCGTTTCTTTCCAGTTCTTTTCCTATGGGACATTGTATTTCTGGGGGTAGCTGGGCAGGGGGGTGGGAAGCATTAACCTAATTTCCCCCACTCCATCCTTGTTAGGTGGTACTTTGGGACTGTAGCATGCATAAAAGATCAGTTTCTGTAGATGTCTAATCCCCTGGTTGCCTGCAATTGGACTTAGTGGTGCAGGTTGTATTTTCTGATCTCATGCTCTTTTAGTTAGGGTAGGTTGCTAGACATGATTATAGCAAGAGCAATTTGTTTTTCTAGAACAAGTTAGTTTACAGCCACACCATGCCCACCAGCCTTTCCTGAATATACTCTTTTGTCAGGATGCCCTGTGTTTCTTTTATCCCTTTCCTGCTCTATGAAACTTTCCTTTACATTTCTTTTTGGCCTGTAGTGAGATCCATTGATGAGGTTAACAAATATATCCTCCCCAACTTCTAGTTCTTTAGGGTTCTGACAGGCATTCATTCACTTTGGTATTTCTCTGCATGAGTTGTAGCTTAAGTACACTAAGTAAACACAAAAATGACACCTGAAGTTCTTAAAAAAATAGATTCTGTCTATGCCAATAATGACAAAATGGCATTACAATTTTCTCAATGTTGGACTTTTATCATTTACAGCTTACCAAGCAGCAATGGAAATGCTATGTTTTTATCATGTAATGTTGCTATCCTAAATCATGCTGAGAAAAGAAGCATTAAGCTGCATGAAGAAAATAGAGGTTACCAACATGTGGTCCAGATGTGATTTGATCTTTAAAGGAAATAACCCTTTTGAGATTAAACTTTCTGGCACAGATTCTATTTTTATGCATGCAGGGAGGGAAATTGATAAAAACCAAGCTGAAGCAGACATCTGGCCTTTCAAAGTGTTAACTGACCCATCACAATGGTAACCAGCCAATATCAGTTATTTCAAACCTGGACAGATTATTATACTACAACTTATTAGGGTATTGTTATACATTATCCTTAGGCTATACTAAGAGCTCTTCATATAATTCACATATTAAAACATGAAAACTAGTGCTAAGCTCCCACTACGGGTCTTAAAAGATGTGCTACCCGGGTCATGCTACAGTAATGTGCTGCAGATAAAACAACCAAATTCCAGTCCTCCAGCATTTTAGGATGTACCTCACTTCTCCCCCTGCTCTGTGTAGACAAACTTTCCACCCCCAAACTCTACTGCCCAGTGAAATGGTATTGGTACCAAGCCAACCACTCCTCTTCCCCCAGGGGGATGCAACCCAGTAGCATGACCCTATGCAGTCAGTGCAAGCAGCCAATAATACAAGCAGTCAGCAGTACAAGCCAGCTATTTCCTACCTACCTTTGGCAACCAGAATTGTAGAATCAGCCTATGTCCTGCTTGAACCCCATCATGCAGGCATCGAACTGGAGTCACAATCTAGGGACAGGGGAGGACCAAAGGGCAACAGGCTGAACCAGGTGATCTATGAGTAGCATCATTGGGACTGGTTGCAGATCTGGACCAAAATTAAATCCCTAAAGTTACAGTACATAAGGGGCAGGGATGCCAACAGTGTCAAATGCAGTGAGAACTGTTGTCCTCTATCATGAGAAGTTGGCCAGATCCTCAAGGACCATACCGTTGCTCCATGCCACACCATGCATTACATATTCATGGGCCCAGCATGGTGCAACAACAAAGACCACAGCAACAGCAATAAAGTAGTTTCCTAGTGGCTATGAACTGCCATGCAGAAGCAGGAAGATATGGCCTTTAGTCACACTCCTGCTAGCCAGCTGTCTAGTGCAGGTGTGGGCAAAATGCGGTCTGTGGGCCGGATGCGGCCCGCCAGGGCATTCTTTCTAGCCTGTGGGGCCCCTAAAAAAAAAAAAATGTAGAAAATGAATATTTATCTGACCCTAGCTGCCTGTCATGTGGCCTCAATGGCTTGCTCTGCCCAAAATAACTGCCTGCCCCTGGTTCAGTGGCAAGTCATAGTTTCACAGACATTAGGGCTGGAAGGGACCTCGTAAGATCATCAAGTCCAGCCCACTGCCCAAGAGGCAGGAAGTCAGCTAGGGTCAAAGGATCCCAGCAAGATAAACGTCCAAATTGTGCAGGTCAGAAATAGCAGTAAGTGCGACTGTTCTAAGCTTGTACTAGTATTTACACCGCTTAATGTTCTGCAGCACTTGGCATAGCCTCTGGGTAATGTGTAACACCCTTAAAATTATTACTAGTTGACATCTCCTCCAGAATACACCCATTCAAAAAAAAAAAATGAATTTTTTTCATTATAATAATGAAAAAAAAAGTTCCTGTTATCAGGAATGTTAAAAGCAGGTTTGTTATAAGAAGACTATATTGTACCAAAAAGCCCATCCTTTCCCACAGAGACAAGCCCTAATGATGTACAGCATCCAATAAGCAAGGAAGCCAAGATTAATGACAAACAATTCTGTCTGGTTACATTCAACCTAAATTTACCTGTATCGTACAGCTTTAAAAGAAGCAAAATATACTTTTTTCTTCTAAGCCCAATATTTTCTTGTTTACCCTAACTCATTACTGGTCCTGCCTCCCCCTCCCACGCTGCTCCCCCCAGGTTAGGCGATGAGAACCTTGAGAGCATGGCAGTTTTAGGAAATACCAGTTCTTCACCAAATCAGAATCTCCAGTGCTACAGATGCAAGGGGCTCTCCAGTGTTGAAGACTAAACTGTACCATCTCAGGGTACAGGCACTAAAAAAAACAAACTAAACCTCTAAACTACACGAAGAGCTACAATATTGCAAGTCTGTGTGCTTCTCAATTTATTACTGCTCTCCTTATCTTCTGAAAGCAATTAAGAGCAGCAGGGAGAAGAACAGCTTAATTTCATTATATCATATTTTGATCATCTTGTATCAAATCATATATAATTGGAACAGCTGAGCAGAAGCCGTCTTCCCTCATGAAGTAGGGAAACCATAATATTCTAGGAGACCCTTCATATAAAGGCATGATTTTATAAGTATAGTATGCAACTTAACAGCAGGGCTATCCCAATTTCTGAGCTCTCCTCCCCCTTCCTCCCAATGGGAAGGGGGAGGAAGCAAAAAATGGAAGAGGAAGTGGGAGCCTGAAGACCCTGGTGGCAGCAGCAGCCAGACTGATAGTGGGAATGGCACCTGGGTCGGAGCCTATGGGCCACAAGTTAGACAGCCATGACTAGGAAGAATGAGGGAATTAGGGAATTACTCAGTGATTCTATGATGATTGAGAGGCAACAGTAGTTATACATAAAGAATCTGCTGAGGGTTCTGCTCCTCAGAGGGTCTAATATACTTGAATCTAAAAGCAGACTTAAAATCACAAAACACTAGAAATCTAATGAACATTTACAAAATTTAATGACTTTTAACATCTGCATTTTCTGCAGTACAATCAACTGAAGCTATTAAAAATCAGAATTCCCACATAAACGTTTTGCCAATAAAAACCCGTAGACTTTTTTAAAGAATATTTACAAAACTTCCCTGAAAAAATAAAGCTCAACTAAAATTTAACTAGACAAGCACTGTCCATGGACAGATACAACAAGACAATAGCTGCCAGACTGCTTTAATGAGCAGAGATAAAAGAAAGGTGTGGCCAACAAATTCAAGGAGTTGTGTATGGGATTTTTCTTTCTTTCTTCTGTGGTTCTTTCAGGGTTTGGATGCCACTTCTTGTCAAACTACGCGACTAAAAGAACTAAATGATATATGTAAAGCAGGTTAAAATATATATCCATTATATGAAAATTCACCAATTGCTTTAAAATCCAAATGTACATTCATTTACATAAAAAATTGCAAAAGCAAATCCTGAACATATTTCGGAAGTTGCTCTCCAGCTACTAAATAAGGCTACTTTCTTGTTCTTGTACTTGCTCTTGTTCTCCTCTCTATTCCAGTCTGAATCCGGCTTACATCTTCTTTGTCATTTCTTTCTTGAGTTTTGTTTCTTCTTCCTCTCAGAGTTCTGCTTTCACTGTTCTCTCCTTGTAAACAAAAATACTAAGTGTAAGGGTGTATCACAAATCAAACAATTCAATCTTCAGTGTCACTATTTCAAAGAAGTGTCCCCAATGACTATATCTCAGAGCTGATGTCCATGAATACAATAAACCATTTGAGAGCCATACTTCTGCACAACCTATATCCTTTAAGATAGATCCCTAAAGATTTATAGCTATTTTTGAAACTAGGCTAATGTTAATGAGGATACCAAACCCAATTAGCTATTATATTTTAGCTCATTTTTTTTCCTGATAATATGAAAGGCTAAAAAAAATATCTACTAAAAACATTTAGGAATATATCATCATGTAGAGAATGAAGAATACAAAGTAATGATACTGACCTAAAAGAAGCTGGAAAGTCAGGTTTTTCATAGTAAAAAAAACTATGGATATGTGCATAAGGAAACAAGTTTTTTCAAGAAGAAACAGTCACTTCTGGCAGAGTGCTGCTACTTGTTGGAAAGATCTCCTATAGAAGATTGTCCAGAATTTTAAGAGAGAAACTAAAAATAAGCAGGAGAAGGCAACATGAATGGGATATCAGTTAAGACTGCAAGTGCAGAAGGAAAATAAGCAGATGTGAGCAAAGAGGAAAAGGAATAAAACACGAGGAAGAAAACTGAATGACAGGCAGAATATGGTTTCTCCCCCTCCCCTCGCTTCTCCACCATCCGTTTTCCCAATTTCCACCTATTTACAGTCTCACTGACCTCCTGTTGCACTTAATCTTTTTTCAATCCTTAGAGATTTCAGAACAAGAAGAGACTCCCTTATGCTTGAAGAAGGGTGTTTGTACCCAAAAGCTTGCAAAGAACATTTTTCCAACTACTCAGTTGATCTAATAAAAGATATCACATGTACCCCAAGAACCTTGCCAGGCAAAACACATGATTTTTACTATCATTTTACTACATTAAAGACTTGATACTGCATTTACTAGCATATACCAGATGCACCTTCTCCCACACCCCCCAAAGAATAACCCTCAAAACTGGGGAGTTAATTGGGCAGGCTAATTTATGCACCAGACTATAAGCATGGAGATGTACAATATCTGCTGAGGGTTCTACTCCTCTCCGTGATAAGCATTCAGCAAGGGGGAGTCCATTTTGTTTTAATCTTCTCCCAGACACTGCCACATTGCAAGCAGCCAAAAGCTGCTGCTAATTTGGCAGCAACTGATAGAGTGAAACTAGCTTTTGCTTAAAGCAGCCACTGAGCTGGCTGAAGGCAAATGAGCTCCTGAATAAGCTGCTCCATTCAGTCAACTTTCAGCCGTAACACTGGAAAAATATTTTCTTCTTCATTCTGCCTACTCAAAGCAAGTGTACATCTTATTCATGGGCATGTGCTTTACAAGAAAATACAGTTATGTAAATACATTTCTGGTTGGCCAAGCTTGTGAAATCCTTAGTGATGGCATTTCTATATTTAACTCTACATAACGATCGTTATTATATCTGTTTTACCTCTCATTTCCAAATCAATTTTAAAATTTCAGGATCTGTTTCAGGCATCACCTCCTTAAGTAACTAGTGGATGACTCCCACTGCTTTCAACATAATACCAAGGATAATAATTCCACAGGAGGGAGCAGAGGCAGATGGCATAATCAGGTTAAAAAAGGGATCAGAAAAATTAACAGATGCAAGATCTACTAATGCAGTGGTTCTCAACCTTTTTTGTACCAGGACCCATTTGGAAACATTGATGGCCAGTCCCAACCTGGTGCCCCTCAATCCCGACCCGCTGCTCCTAGGACCCAGCCCCCCCCCCACAGTGTGGGGGGCAGAGGTTGTCCCAAATATACTCCTTGCAGGCTGGAACTCTGCCGGCCTGCAAGGGAAAAGCCACAGTTTCCCACATTTTCTCCTTTAAAGGAGAATCTATTTTTAAAATGTGCTGATTTATTTTTTAGAAGTTTGTTCATGACCCTTTCATATATTCTTGTGACGCACTATTGGGTCACGACCCACAGGTTGACATGCTGTACTAAGGGTGAACAAAATGGTTAGACAGGTTTTCTCTGGCATCTTTAAATCATAGATGCCAGGGAGGGTATTGAATAGAGGACAAATCATTCAAGATATCCAGTTCAATGTTCTCCCTCTACAGCATCCGTGTTTACCGCTGCTGGAGATGGGATACTGGGCTAGATGGATCACTGGTCTGAGCCACTATGGTACTTCTTATGTTCTAATACTTCTACCTGATATCTGTCCATCCTTTTAGAGTTTTTGATGCTAATTTCCTGAATAATTTCTCTCACAGATAAGGAAGAAGAAAAAGGAGGAAGACAGATAGGCCACATCTCCTAAAACAGGAGGTAAAACAGAATAATTGGAGTAAGTGGACAAAGCATGACCCCACAGCCCTTAGCATAGGAACGGGAACCACTGCCAAGGGGAAAAATGAGTTGCAGGGCATCCCCAAAATTAACGGGGATGAAGGAGTAGGTGCTTGCAAGGTGCTACAGGGGAATCCAAAAAAAGTCCTGATGTATGCAATAAAATTCAAACTATACAAACTATTTTGTAATAAAGGAAGGAGTGATGCCATCTCTTACATAATCGTTACACTAATGCAGATAATTTATATTACCATGTCTCTCTCCCTATAGATATCGATTATAGATATCTATATCTATAGATATCTATATATAGGAAGAGAGACATGGTAATATAAATTATTTGCATTAGTGTAATTAACACATTTCTAGCGCTGTGGACCTTTATAATTAAATTCTAAAATATATTACCATGTTTATATGTGTGTGTGTATATATATCTATATCTAGATATACACATACACACATTATATATATAATAGTGTGTGCGCACACACAAAATATATACATAGATACACAAAATATACACATAGATACACACCCACACACACAAAATATACACATATATACACACATGTAGACATGGTAATATATTTTAGAATTTAATTATAAAGGTCCACAGTGCTAGAAATGTGTTAATTATTTTGATCAAAACAGTCTGAAACTCATAAGCAAACTGAAGGAATACCTGGTCTAAAACATTCCAAAGACATACGCGCATGCGCGCGCACACAAACTTATCCTTTGGTACTAAAGAATACAAAACAAACTCTTGCCATACCTGATTTTACTTGTTTGGCTGCCCTTTCATCTTCTGGCAAGTGTCGTTTTCTCCCGAGAGGAGCGGATCTCGTTGCCTGGGATGGAAGACTAATCTCTTTCTTTTTGCCTTTTCTTAATATAATCTCTTTTGCAGGAGTAGTATACTCAAGAACTACATTCTGACCTTCTGTATGAACTACCTCTTTAATATCATCTTCTGTCAATCTGGCTTTATCTTGGAACAATGGGAAATTATCTGTCTGTGACATGACTTCAATCTTTTTGTTTCTTTTTCTTCTTGACAGATCAGGTTTTCCATGGGAGAGTGCATTTTCCACAGCCACATTTTTGTCTTCTTTAAGAGTCTCCTCTTGACCAGAGTCTTTTGGCAAGTCATAAGTTTTCCTAAGAGAAGTAGAAGCATCTATCTTTTTCTTTCTGCCCCTTCCAGATGGCTTCCCTTTTGCAGAGGATATAATTTCCAAAGGCATATTTTGATCTCCTTTAGGAGTCTCCCTCTTACCATCATTTTCTGGCAGACTGAATTGATTGTGGGGAACAGTGGAACCTGCTGCTGGTGACAGGAGATCCATCTTTTTCCTTCCCTTCTTTTTTAATGGGTTAGATTTTTCAAGGGGTGTTGCATTTTCCAAAGCCACATTTTTACCTTCTTTATGAGTATCTTCTTGATCACTGCTTTCTGACAAGCTGCATTTTTCCCTTTGAGAAGTAGAACTGGTTGCCTGTGACAAGGGTACAACCCCTTTCCTTCTTCCCCTTCTAGGTGGAATCTCGCTTGAAAAGGGTACAGTTTCCAAAACTATATTTTGATTTGCGCTAATCTCCTCTTTACCATCATTTTTTGGCAAGCCACGTTTTCCCCTGTGTGAAAGGGTACTTGTAGCCTGTTCTACTAGATCTGCCTTTCTTCTTCTACCCCTTGCTGATGTACTAGCTTTTGCCTCAGAAGATGCATTCTCCAAAACCTTATTTTGATCTTCCACAGGAACCTTTACTGTAACATTATCTGTTAGTAAGCCACATTTTCCTCCTTGGGAAGTAAAATTAATTGCCTGTGCTAAGATAACATCATCTTTCCTTTTGCCCCGCCTTGACAGATTCTCTCTAGCAGAGGGAACAATTTCCAAAGCCACATTTTGATCTTTACTAGTGTCTTCAACACCATTTATCTCCAAACCACATTTTCCCCCCACTGAAGGGGAACTTGCTACCTGTTGTGTGAGATCAGATTTTTTTATTCTCTCCCTTCTTGCTGAGTTAGCTCTTGTTCGGGTAGTAGTATTTTCCAAAGCTATGTTTTGATCTTCTTTAAGAATCTTCTCAATAACACCATTTGTAGGCAAAACACATTTTGTCTGTAGTGAAGTGGACCTTGTTTCTTGTGGCACAAAAGCAACCTTTTTCCTTCTTCCCTTTCTTGATGGAATTTCTTCTGTAGAAGCAGCACTCATTTCCAAACCTGCACCATGACCTTCATCAGCAATCTCATTTTTATCATTTTTTGTCAAGCCATGTTTTCCCCCGAGAGAAGAGGAACTTGTTGCCTGCTCTGCGAGGTGAGACTTTTTTCTTCTGCCTCTTGTTGATGCACTAACTTTTGTATGGGAAGCAGTATTTTCTAAAACCGCATTTTGATCTTTTTGAAGAGTCTCCTCTTTATCATTACCTTCTGACAAATCATGTTTTCTTCTAAGAGAAGTGGAATTAGCTATCTGTGATGTGAAAACAACTTCTCTTTTCCAGCTTCTCAAGGAATTCTGTTTTAGAGAGGAAGTGGCAGCTTCCAAAGTTGTATTTTCATCTTTAACGGTCTCATCTTTGCTAGGGTCTTCAAGCAATATGCTTTTTCCTGTAACAGAAGAGGAAGTAGCTGCCTGTAGCACAAGGTTGACTTGTTTCCTTCGGCCCCTTCTTCCATTTGCTTGGGCAGGTATTTTTTTTGATGTCTCATTTTGACCATCTTCATGATTTGCTTCTTTATTGTTATCTTCAGGTCCAGCGTGTTTTCCTCTGAGAGAAATGGAGCTAGATTCCTTAAGTTGAAACTGAACTTCTTTCCTTTTCCCTCTTCTCAATATATTTTCTTTGCTTTCTGTTGGATTATTTTCCAGAATTTCATTTTCATTTGTTTTGGGTGTTTCTTGTTCCTTATTACTTCCCCTTGTACTCCTTCTATGTCTAAGAACAGCACTCTCCTCTTCAACAATTTGAACTACTGCTGTAGTTGAATCCTTTTGATCTTTCTTGGTTTTGGAAGTTTTCTCTGCTCGTGAAGATTTTTTGGTAGCAGTTTTCTGGGATTCAATGTCTGATTTCATTTGAGGTATTATTTCTTCATTGCTTATTTCTCTCTTAAATCCACAGTGTGACTCATTTAACGAATTTGTTCCACTGAAAGCAACCTGAGCAGCATGTTGTTCTTTCCTACTGCCACTAAGAAAATCCAGACTGTAGGTGCCAGGGGTCTGAGCAATTATGAAATCTTGATCATTTATATTTTTTGTATTAAGATCTTTTGTCTGACTTGCTTCTTTACCATTTACATTTTTTGAAAATTCATCTTCCTTAGGCATAATTACACCTTTTTTACCTCTGTTATTTCTACATCTTGGATTACTTTCTTTTACTGGATTTGTATTTGCTTGGAAGTTGTAAACATTAAGAGGTGCTTCATTTGCAATTTCAGAAAGTAAGTAATTTGACTTGCAACTTTCATCTGTTCCTGCATCCTTATTTCCTGCTTCAGTTTCTTCCAGAGGTGCTTGTGTTTTAACTGCAGTTTCATTTGAAGTTCTTTTGATTTCTTGGATATTTCCTACAGTGTCGTAATCCATTTTCACAACTTCTTCTGTTTCAGCCAACTGTTTTCTGGAGTTTCCTTTTAAAGCTTTCCCTTTTTTCTCGGTCACTTTAATTTTTGCTTTTTTGTTTTCCAATTCTTCCATTGGAACAGCTTCAGTGAGATTCTTAGTAAAATCATCTTCATCTCTTTGTGTACATTTTGCCGTTTCTGCTCTACGAGTGTTCCTTCTCTGTCTTTGGGGTCTTTCTTTTGAACAAGGCTCATCTGTAGAACACTGTTTGTTATGTTCGGTTTTAACTCTTCTGTTTCTTTTAGCTGGAACTATGGATTTTAGCATTTCTAAATGTTCCTGTCCTCCAGTCCTCTTTCTAAGTGATAGAATCACTTTTTCACTGCTGTTACAGAGTGAGGATTTCTCTTCTGCTACAAAAAGAAAAATGTATAACCTTTAATTGTGAATGGATCTATTTCAGTTTATATGTCCTTAGCTTCATTCTTCTAATTTATAGACATACATTTTGATTATAGTTTGAATGTTATTAATAGTTTACCTTTGATTTACCAGAATCATCTTGAACTTTAATTTTAGGTTCTGTCTATACATTCTTTATTGCAGCTAATCCTAGATTTTCTTTCCAAAACTTTGATTCTTGTCATAATTTCAAATACTGTATTTTTCCCATGGTCTTCTGCCAAACAAGTTACATTGACATGCTGCACAAAATCCTGTTAATCTACTTAAAATACATTTCATCAAAAGTTATCTTAACTAACAGTGTTGCACTGAAAAAATCATTGAAAGCTGACCTCATTTTATGAAAAAGTTGCCCACTGCGTTCTGTAGCAAGAAATCTTACATAAACACACAGTGCTAGATGACTTGGTAGACAACATTCTTACCACTGAATCAGGCCTGATCCATGCCTCAACCTACTGCAGAAAGGTTATTATATGCTTTTTTAAGTCATTCAAAATCTTTCATTTTTAAATGTTAACTTTAATGGCAGTATTTTCATACTGGATGTAGAGGTTTATCTAGAGAGGCAATATTGTAAGCATAACAGCAATACATATTTACTAATAATTCCACAAAAAATATTGATTTTAGTTATTTGCTGTATACTTTTAAATTTCAAAAGGTATAGCTCTATGAATGTTTATTGTACTAATATGTAAACATATACTTACCATGTTCATTTCTGGAATCAGTACAAGGAAACACTTTTTTTTGTGAGAGATCCATAACTTCTGTTGATTGGACCTAACAGGGTGAAAAATAACGAGTAAATCTATGGCTGGCAGAACTAAGAAAAGCAGTTGTTTTTATCTATAGCAATAAAAATAAAACCTATTAGTGGCATAGGACACAACCAGAGAGAGAAAACACTGTTAAGGATGTAGAAATGGGGAGGCGTTCAATAAATGTTTCTGTGTACGGAAAGGCTGACATATTCATCACACAAGCATGATGAAGTACTTTCAAATCTATTAGTAACTAAGGAGGATATTAGAATATCTACTAGATATTAGCCTGTTCAAAAATCGACAGGTCCATATAACCTGCACCAAGAGCCTGTATAGTGAGTCAGATGAAGGACTCTCTGGCCTTTTGCTATCAACCTTTTAATTAATTTTTAAATATCAGAAAGGATTCCAGAAGATGAGAAGGGTGTCCATACTATGCTACTAGTCAAAAAGAGGCAATAGGATGACCTGGGAAACTATTAGCTGGTTAGCCTGACAGCAGGTCTCAAGCAAAAACATGGAAAAAACTAATGCTGGATACAACTGATAAAGAAGAGGAATATAATTAACAGTTTAAAAAAATAGGTCCTGTCAAACTAATCTGATTTCATTCTTTGGTGGATAAAAAATAGCTATACAGACATAACATACTTAAGCCTTGAAGATCTATGACAGCATCACACAATAACCTGATTAAAAATTAGCAGTATCAATAAAGTGCACATTAAACTAAGAACCTAATGACAAGATCTTAAAGCAATTTTGAGAGAATCATTACTGAAGCGGGGTGTTTCCACTGGGGTTCTGCATGGCTAAGTGTTAAACCCAAATCTGCTGAGCAATTTAATCTAAGATCCATAAATAAATAAAATATAAAATCACTGTTAATAAAATTTGCAGGAGACAGACTGGTGGAACTAGAAATAGCAAGGTCAGGGCAGTCGCATACAGCTATCTGGATCACTTGGTAAAGATGTTCAATTCAAAATAAAACATATTCTAATACTCTTTTGCCATTTAAGTGCAATTATGTGAACTTAATGTAAACAACACTTTCAGTACACAGCAACATCAGTGATGGGAGCTAGTTACTTTCAGGGCTGCTTCTACTACAGCAGTGCATAGTGAATGAACATTGTTTATGCCCGTCAGCACTGTGGTATCAGCAGCCATGAAACTAATTAAGTCCCACCATTTGCAAGGCTTCTAATTAACAGTTGCTTCTCTTTTACCATTTCTAAGAAGTTAACCATAGTACAATTGCTTGCAAAGTAAACAGTGAAAAAGAAGACTGTATACACGAGATGTGTATGAACTTAATTGATATACAGGTAACTACAGGTTTGCTACAGGCAAATAATTGGGACCAGTATTATGTTGTGTAGTTAAATTATGTGCTTATCAAGTATGCATATAAATGAAGTAACAATGTACTGCCAAATAGAAGGTTGTATATATCTGCAAGGCATGTAGGCTCTACTTGCAGGGTAGGAGACCATATTCTGGAAAGCAGTGCCAAAATTTTAGGGGCATAGAATGCATGAACATGGCAAGCTAGATGGAAAAAGCTAACACAACTTTTGGATGTACAAAGAGCAAAGCAAGGAGGGATACAGAAAGGATTTTACCTCTACATTCAATATTAATAAAATTGATACCAAAAAACAGGATTGATACTTCTGATGCCTGACTGAAACAACTTGAGAGGATCTAAAAAGTAATACAATGGCTCAGGAAAAGTTACAGTGAAAAACAGATGCCTTAATCTGTTTAGCTCATCAAAAAGAAGGCTGAGAAGTAATCAAGAGTAAATGTCTCAAAGGCATACTTTATTCAAACATGAATTATCAGTGAAATAAGAGTATAACTGGAAGAAATGTAATGGACTATGATATATAGCATGTTAGAGTACAATGACCTACTGTTTCCTCCTAGCCTAAAATGCTAACTGACGGACCCAAATTGCCAAAAAGTGATACGAGGTTTTTTACCTTTTCCTTAGGAGTATCAAACATTTCCTTAACACCAACATAGTCCAGTTCAGAATCTGAACATTTTTGTTTAGGCTCTGCCAAAAGCTTTTGCAATCCCATGAAGTCATCAACTGGTAAATACTTTTCTCTTGGTGTCCTCAGTAGTCTACTGATACCAAACATATCTTCTATTGGTCTGACAATTTCCTTTGGTGTCTTCATCATACAGCTGATTCTCTTCATATCTTCTACTGGTTGGCATTTTACTTTTGCTGTTGCCTTGGTAACTGAGACTCCACAAATGTTGTTACCTACTTGCTTTCTTTGTTCTGGAGTTTCAAACAATCTTTTAAAAGCAACATCATCTACAACAGGTTCCATCTTCTGCTTTGGGGTCCGCATAAGACGCTTGACTCCCGACAGGGCATCGACGGGTTCTGCCTTTTGCTTTGGGGTCCGCATAAGACGCTTGACTCCCGACAGAGCATCAACGGGTTCTGCTTTTTGCTTTGGGGTCCGCATAAGACGCTTGACTCCCGACAGGGCATCAACGGGCTGGGTCTTTTGCTTTGGGGTCCGCATAAGATGCTTGACTCCCGACAGGGCATCAACGGGTTCTGCCTTTTGCTTTGGGGTCCGCATAAGACGCTTGACTCCCGACAGAGCATCAACGGGTTCTGCTTTTTGCTTTGGGGTCCGCATAAGACGCTTGACTCCCAACAGGGCATCAACGGGCTGGGTCTTTTGCTTTGGGGTCCGCATAAGATGCTTGACTCCCGACAGGGCATCAACGGGTTCTGCCTTTTGCTTTGGGGTCCGCATAAGACGCTTGACTCCCGACAGGGCATCAACGGGTTCTGCCTTTTGCTTTGGGGTCCTCAAGGACCGCTTGACACCTGACAAGGTCTCAGCTGGCTCCGTCTTTTCCTCTGGGGTCTTCATGCACTGCTTGACACCTGACAAGGTTTCAAGAGGTTCTGTCTCTTGCTTTGGGGTATTCATTTGACTTCTAGCTCCTAATGTCACCTCATTTATTTTCTTTTCTGCTATTATTAATGGCTTCGTTCCCATTTTCTTTTTCATTATTGCTTTGTCTTGATCAGAATCAATAGAAACATCTGAATCTGAAGACTTTTGTCTTTTCAGGAAATGAGATACAGCTTCCTGATTAACTTGTTTTTGTTTTGCACTACTTGAAATATTTAAGGGTGATACTGCCATTTCTCCTATAAGAAAAATAACAATAAATAATTTGGGAAGAAATTAAAAGTAACCATCCAAACATTAAACTGTTGAATATTCAAGGGAAAAAATATCAGGTAGGCAAAAGCAGCCTGTCAGAATAAAATATTATATTCTTCTTTAATCGAGTAACTTGTTAGTTACAAGAATAATGAAGAAAACAATGTAAAGGCCTCTGTCTGGACTACACAAAATATTACATTGAATTGCATATGCAAATTAAATAACATTTGTATTCCCATTTATTTAATCTGATATTGAATTATATTTCTTGTATGCTGGCTCTAATTTTTAATTTTCACTGTTCTATCCTTTCTATATTGAAGGCATATAACAGTACTAAGTGACAGATAGAAGCCAGAGATTGACATAAAGGGACATTTGAAACTTGTGGCATGGTGGCAAATGAGAACTGTTGCAGGATGAGGATATTAATACAAACTGGTGAAGCCATGAGTAGCAGAAACTTCTGTTATCCTATCTCCTCACATATACTGCACACTCCAATTTCCAGCAGGTGGCTTTTGGAAAAAAATGCATGCTGTATGCAAGAAAAAGACAGCTGTACAGACTTGAAACTGCCTCAGGACAAGTCTAACGGACGCTGTCGTAAACTAAGGTGGCCACCAGCACATCATCTACAGAGATTTTTCCAATGCTGCCGCTGGTAGATGCAGTGGTATCAACAGTGGAATGTTTTAAGGGGGAAAAGTTTAGCATGAATATTATAGCTGAAACTTTTCTTAAAGCTTGCGTTTATTCTAAAAACACAATTCTGCAACAAATTCACTGTATGTGAAATGCAAAAGGTATTCTGACAACTTTTTTATTAAAAAAACCCCACAACCTTTTTGTTCGGGTCATGGTTTTTCAATGTGCTACTCATTGTATCTATGATTTTCTTTCAATATAAAACCACGTACAGCAAAAGCTTTGTTATCCAGCACTCATGGGGAATGCAGGATGCCAGATAACAAAATATGCCGGTTAACCGAGAGGCCCGTACAGGCATCTTTGCCTGTTTGGGTTGCCACCGCCCCTCCCACAGGCCCTGAGGGTCAGGAAGGTAGGCCCCGTGCAGGCTGCTATGCCCCAGGCCGTGGAGGCTTGGCGAAACTGGAAGTGCCACAGTGGGCACTTCCGGTTTTGCTTTTGCCTTACAAGCTGGCATGCCAGTTAAGAGAGCAAGTCAGCTTGTAAGGTGCCGGATAATGCAACTGTTACTGTAGATGCATTTTCACCCACAAAAAAGTACCCAAAAGATAAAATTCATAAAAATAATTGAACTTATCTGGCAGTATAAGAAAGATTATTTTGCCTTTGTAGTACTACTAGTTTAAGTAATAGCACATCAGAAGTAGTTGTCAGAAGCCTTCTTCAACTGAAGAAAATACATGCCATATTCTCAGGTTAACCAAAACACACTCGTAATATTTTATATATATTAAAGGATTTGTTCTTAAATTCTACCAGTGCTCTATCCAGGGAATAAAATACCCCTCAATGAAAATGCATTTATTGTGGGGTAGGTTAAGGTAAGATGCCTCTCAATAACAACAGGGTAAGTGACCTTTCTTCACCATTGATTAAAAGGGTGCACAGGAGCAAATACCAGAGTAGGTAACATGTTTGTATTTTGGTATACCTCACACTGACTTGCTCACATAACCACACTGGTCTGTATATGTACCAGCTGTACCGTGTTTCAACAAAATGCAAACGTGCATTGCTTAAAACTTGCCGTGCACAATCATGTACGTTTTATTCTTAGCAAAATCCCAAACTTCAGCGATCCCAATTATTATTATTAATTAAACATAATTACTGTGGGCCCCTTCATCCTCCTCTTCAATAAGTCTGCATAGGTTATAAGACTAATGATTGACTACATTTACGTTGCCAGGTCAGCAGCCACTACTCTGCTTTTTTCCAAACAAATTCTTAAACCCTTGCTCCCATTGTTCTGTTAAAAAGAACATACCAGATTCCTCTGGAGTGAGTAGCTCGGAGACTTCCATTGCAGCGTGCATTGGTGAAAGGTCAGTCTTTTGGCCAGACGTCAGAGATGGACTTTTTTGATCCCCATTTACTGGAGTTTTAAACATCTCAGGCACCCCTAAAAATGATATTCAAATGAATTACCATGTGCTTTCACATACAACCACCAGTGAACTTGGCAAAGCCCAGAACAGCAATTCTCAACCAGAACAACGATTAGAACTTCTTAAAAAACTCAAAAATCCTGTTGTTGTTTTTTTTTTTTTTTCAAATCGGCAGGAAGAGGAAGCAACAATGCTAGGAAACAATAACAAAACAAAAAAAGTAGTAAGTATGGGTCTGATTGAAGGCTGTGCTAGTTAGCCATTGAGATGTTTCTGACTCAGCAAAACCACTGATTGGAATTGAAGAAAAGGGTGGCAAACTCTGCTCTTTATTCCCTCAGTGTATAAGGAGAGGGGCCCTGAGATATGGGCAACCAAGTAGAGATACTGATATGGCAGTGGTTGGTTCTCAACTTTTTTAGACTCAAGTAACCCCTCACAAAATACCAGCTCTTACCTTTTACTCATTTTTTAATTGGACAATTCTTCTGTTGCAAAGTACTTAGAAAAGCCACAATAGGTCAGAATGTTTAGACACTATGGATTCCTATTTTAATTTTTTGGTCCATCTTCCAAATCCTGAGTTTACACACCTAACAATGATAATTCTGCATGGCACCCCAAATGAGAACCACTAAGCTATGGCAAGATTATAAATATTAATCATAATAATAAAATGTTTTAAAAATAACCTTGTGTTTAAGGCTTAGGGATGACACACCCACATAAGAACATGTGTGGACAACTACTCAAAGAAGAATAAGATAGTTCAAGAAAATTATTAACACTTCACTCTGAGAAGCTAAGAATAAGTTTATGGATACAATGTTTTATATATGGCAACACAATATATATTGCTAAACTGTATTATTTTCTGCTGATATTTATCCCATTTATTTAGAAGTCACTACCATGGTTTTATCATATTATCCAATTTTTATTGGAAAATGAAATTTTGCTATACTGAAGTACAGACAACTTATAACTGTAATCACTACATAGCCACTAAAGTTTCGCCTACTTTACTAAGCCATCAAAATGTGATGATCCAATTTACATACATAATGATGCTTAGATACATAGGCATGCTCCATACACAGCACAAGAATGAGTGCGCAAGCATGCATATGAGTGTGCAAGCATGCATATTGCAATGAAAACAACTACAAATAGTTCAAAAGTATTTGATAATAATACCGGTCAAAAAAAAATATTCAAGTTCCAGCACCAGTAGCTGGTGTTCAACTGTGGCAAGACACTGCAAGAACAGTTAATAACAACCTATCTTCAAACGGCTTACTCCCTAGAGGAAAGCAGTCCCTCAATAAGATGACAAATCTTCCAGTAAATAGGGCAGTAATCAATGAGTCCAGAGATAACTGAGGGGGTTGATCTGATATCCACAAGTTTGACTGCAGACATGGTAAATAGTTCAGGGAAGGGGGTAGATCACAAGGATGTTGGTCATAGCTCACAGTGACGTTGGTCATAGCAAGGCAAATTTGCTTGAAATGATCAATACCTAGTCATACATCATGGTGCCATTGGGGAGTGCCCAAGTCTCCCACGTATTGATGTGAAAATCATATTTCTTCAGATTAGCCTTCTAAGTGTCCTTGAATCTCCTTTTTTGCCCACCTGTAGAGCAGTGACTGAGTCAGTTTGGAGCATAGCCAGCTGTCAGGCATCCTTACATCATGTCCTGTCTAGAACTAGTGCCTTATAAATGTGGCTTCAAAGCTAGTGGCCTTTGCTTAAGCCAGAATGCTGGCATTTATTCTTCTGTCCTTTTAACTGATATTGAGGATTTTCCCAAGACATCACTGATGATAAAGTTCCAAGGCTAGTTTCATAAGCATACAACAGGGTAAGGATGTAAACAGCATGATAGATGAGAAGTTTAGTTTGGGTCCTGATGTCACTATGATTGAAGACGTGATTTTGGAGACACCCAAAGGCAGCACTGGCAGATTTTTATCTAGTGTTGAATATCGTCATCTAGGTTTACTTTTAGCGAAAGGTACCTACTCAGGTAGAGGAAATGTATGACGTTCTCCAAGGAGTGCCTTCTAATTCCAGTGCAGAGGAACATCCGGTTGGTTTGGTAAAGGGTAATAAAGTATCTTGTTTTTTGTTAAGTTGAGAGCGAGTTCAAGCATTCTGTACACTTCACAGAAGCAATTAATAGTGACGTGGAGCTCTTCAATTGAGTAAGCACACACACAACACCATTGTTGAGATCAGTATATGACATCAGCAACGGGGGCGTTGATTATGTTGGATCTGGAATGTAACTTGTTGATGTTAAAGGGATTCTCATTCGTGTGATACTGGATGCTAACTCCAGAAGCAAGTTTATTAGCAAAAAATAGGAGTACCTGGGACAGAGACGGAAAAGAACATGGGTGCAATCGCACATGCTTGCTTGACTCTACTTCTAACAGTGAAAGGATTGGTTTCTGAAGTATTGCTTAAGATGATTAATGTTGTTGTGAAGACATCTGATAACTAATTTTGGTGGGCATCCAAAAAATCTCATTAGGATCTTTCATAGGACCTTTCTGTTGACTCAAAGGCCTTAGCCATGACTGTGTCAATGAAGGCCATGTAAAGATCCTTATGTTTCTCTCAGCACTTCTGCAGCCATCTAGCAACAAAGATCACAACTTCTGTACCCAAGTAATATGAAACCATACTGGGTGTTGGGTAGCATCTCCTCCATCAGACAAGTGCATCTACTGAGAATAAAGCGGGCAAGGATCTTCCTAGCTATGGACAAGAGTATAATACCATGATAATTGCTGCAATACAATTTATTTCCTTTCTCAAATATGATAATGATTCTGGCATCTCTCAAGTCACTGAAAATCTGTTTGTGTTTCCAGATTTTCATAATAAGATGTGCAGTTGGTGAGAGAGTTTTTTTTCCACCTGCTTATAAATTTCAGTCAGCAATCCATCAGGACTACATGCTCTGTTGTTTTTCTTGGTGTCTTGACAAGTTGTGGATCTTTAAAATAATCCTTAATAGATTGTTTTGAAATGGCTTTTGATGGTTTTGTCTTCCACATTAGAATCTTGGTTTGGCAGCTAGAGAGTGCTTTTTCCACCATATGTTGATGGTAGAGCTGTCTTGTTCCATCCCTGGGCCTCAGGAAGAACAGTTCCTTGTGTGCTTAGCCCATAGATGGCTTTAGGTGCTGAAGAAACCATGGTTATCATGGCTGTTAGCAGACTTTTAAAACTCTTTTGCTTCATCCTCCCACCACTTGTTCTTTCGCTCCCAAATTTTCCCCTGGGTCTTGGCTTTAATGTGGCAATAAGCGTCTTTCTTGTTTGTAGCTGATGTCAATCAACTGTGCTAAAATTTGATGGTGTTCCTTTTTCTGTCAATGAGAGCTTGAATTTCCCCATCATTTTACTCCAACCAATTCTTTGTGGAAAAGCCTAGATTCTTCGCACACCTCACAGATGCCTTTGTTGAGGCTCTCCCAGCGATCAGTCTTGTCAAGATCCTCAGGGAGGTCAGAGTTTCTCCTAAGACACTGGAGAGCATTGCTTTCAACAGGGTCTGTCATGTACTCAATACTGAACCTCTTACTTGGCTGCTTCTTTCATTTACGTTTTGAAGCAATATGAATGGACATGACCAAACATATCAAATGATGGTCCTTCCAGTCTATGCTGGTCATAGCTATGGTGATACGGATGTTGTGATGGCTGCGGCGCATGTTATGACAGTCAATCAGGTGCCACTGTTCTGAGCAGGGGTGCATCCATAAGGTCTTCCATTTGTTGCTTTGGTGGAATAAGGAGCTTGTGATGATACAATGATGTTCCAAACACTTGCTCGGGAGAAGAATTCCATTTGAACTGACTTTCCCCACCCCTTCCTTTCCACAGCTCAGAGTCCCTGCCGATTCAAGTGCTGAAAATCACCAAGAATTATCTTGTCTTCTTTGGGGACAGATGGCAAGACTTGGTCAAGTTTACAACAGAATTCTTCCCCCACCCACTGTCATCTGTATCAAAGGTTGAGATGTATACATTGATGACTGCTGCTGCATGCTGCCTATTGGTCAGTTGAAGATGAGGGGTCATGAGATGTCTTGTTAATGAAAACTTGACGTTCCAGCATCTGATTAACAATCTTGGTCCTGATAGCAAAACCAATGCTGTGGGCATGTCTGTCTTTTTTGGCTTTTCCTTTCCAAAAAAGGGAAACTACCATCATGCTCTGTGAGCTGCTGCCATCCTGAACTTATTGCCTTACTAAGTGCAGCAGTGCCAGTATCAAATTGTAAAAGTTCTCTGGCTACACATACCGTTTTCTGCTCAAGTCTGTCACTACATCAGGATGCAGACATTTCAGGTTGCAAATTTCATTTCTTGGACTTTTTAAATTTTTTTTTTTTTAAGTCACGCTTTTCCAGGCAAGTAAAATGATCCCGAGAGGGTGATTTGGGGGGAAACAGTGCATGTAGTATGGGATAAAACACAGTCAAGCTTTGTTGTACTGTATTAAAGGTGAACAGAAGACATTGATCAGCAGAGACAAACCTAAATTTGCTGACAGTGATGAACTTGCAAGAGTTTATTTTTAAGAAAGTGAAAATGAAAATGAAGCTCCTCACACTATGCTCAGGCTGTGATTTTAAAACTTAAAAGCAAGACTTTTTAAAGGTTTTTTAACTTGAAATGAGGTTAACGTGTGCCATGTTACAGAACATATTACATGACCTGACAAAGAATGCCTTGTCTTTGAACAGTTGTCTAACTATCCCAACCACATAGTTGGTCCTGGAAAAGATATTACCCACAAAAATCCTTGCCTTCTGCATATATTAAATGAAGACTATTTTGATTAATCAATATCAAGTCAAATAAAGGAAGAATTGTGTAGATTAAAAATGATGCACATTATTCAAACTACATCAGTTACCTGTGAAACTTTCATTTATATCCATGCAGAGTTTCAAAGCAGAGTTTTTCACCACTTTTGGGGCTTGTCCATAGTCCATTTTCACTGTGGTGGTATGAGCTCTTCCTATCATTATTGTAGCAGGAGAATCTGCATGACCTGTACTAAAATGTCCTTTTACTTTTCTTTCTGGTGTCTGTAGAAAGGAAAAAAGAGAAACAAGCTCAGTAAATAAAGATGAGTTTAAAAGTAATCTCAAATGTAGAATTTGACTAGAAGAGATGAACAGGCCACATAATATCAAATTAAAAAGAAGGAAAAGGAAAAGAGACATCTGATTATCCAAAATAACTGTTTTGTGTGTCTGTTCTATCCTATAGTAAACAGAGACTATACTGAACAGAACTCCTAAATTATCACCGTTTAGCCTTCACTCGCTATAAGACAGGCGCCGTGGTCTTGCAGTGCTGCCCACGGTTCCTGAGCTGGACCAACACATGTACCGCATACAGCACGAACTGCAACTAGCATGAGGAGCTGGCACACACGGCCAAGTTGGGCTGCGGGTTGTGAGCAGCACCCATATCAGATTGGTCCTGCAAGCTCAGTCTGACACACCAATGGACTGGCCCCAGGCCACTCTCTGATCTTGCCAACGAACTGGCCCCACGTCACTTATCTGGCCAAAAGGGCCTAATAAGCTTGATACCCCTGATGTAGGATAAAGTGAATATGTGAAACTGTTACTGGGCAGCAAGTAGCAGAATTTTAAGTTCCTCTCACTTTTAAATTGGTACTATTTCAGTTGTTCATACATTTGAAAAGTTTTTAGCAATTTAAACTTGATTTATAACATGCTACTGTAGAACATAAATTAGATAATGGAAGAAAAACATTCAGGGTAATAGTGGTTTTGAATAAAAAAGAACCTAGAAATTCATGCATTTTCCCAACTGTATTACCAAAAGTAAACATTATTATCTATTTATTACACCTCTTGACCATTTAAATGGATTAAATATTTCCGCCAAATAAATAACCTTCAGCCTGAGCCAATACCTGCTAACACAAACTAAAACGAAAATACAGCATTAAACTCCTGTTCCAAAAGAACTTGCTATTGAATAAAATGGAATTACAATTCCAGTATTTCAATTCAACCAGCATACAAGTTTAAAAGAAAGGAATTTTTCTCCAAGGAATGTATACACTGCAATAAGCAGATTCTAGCAGTGGGTCAGCTCTCTTCAGTATGAAAAAGCTATTAAACATCAACTTTAAGCTAATACAGGCAGATGAAGTTCTTCACCCACCAATTAAATACTGCTGTATTTTGAAGGTAAAACCATGCGAAGTACAATTGCATACCATAAAGGAAAAAGAGAGATTTAGCTTGGTGTATAGAATTTTTCACTGTCAGAAAAAAAAAATTAAGCAAAAATGAGTGTGACAACAGGGAGTACTGACACCTTCAGCCCCAAACCTCTTTCTACCATTGCGATGCTTGACCACTGAGAAGCTGGAGATTTTCCACTTTTAGTCCAGTGTCCCTCCTCTCCACATATCTTGGTCCTGGCCCTTCCAGCTCTAGTACAGGAGATTTTGCTAACTGGGAGAATCCAACCCTTACCGGTCTGTGTAAAATAAATACAGTCTCTACAGAATTGACCAGCCTGTAATTGCCAATTGCTCTTAAAAAATAAAATAAATAAATAAATAAATAAATAATAATATCAGACTTATCACAGACAAAAGTAAAGTATGATGAATAGCAAAAAGATTTATTACTTGGACAAGAGAAATCATACAGAAAAATAATAAATAGTAGAATTCTCTCCCTATACTGCTCACTTCAGGTCCCTCTATACTCAATGGGATCTAAAGTGCATTCCACACAATCATACCTCCCACCATAACACATGTGAGCAGCAGGATACGCAATTGTGGGATCGTGCCTTAGATCCCATTGCGCCTTACTGCCTGCACCAGGAAGCAAGCTCTTGCAGCTGGGAGCCCCCTCAGGTGATCCCAATGCACCCCAGGGCTGGGGGAAACAGCTACCATGATCTTCCAGCCCTCGGGGGACATAAAGCTCCAGAGGTTTCATGCACCCCCAGGGTTGGGAGATCACAGCCATGCCCCACAACTGCTGGAACCCAGCACCAGGAGGCACGCTGTGGGGACACAGCATCTGTAGCTGCAGGACTCTGGATCCCACTTGCAGGATTCCAAGCCCCGACTGGTTATGATGATGCACCCTTGCAGCTGGAAGCCCTGCTGACATGGTTCCCAACTGCAGAGGAGACCCTGCTACATGTGCAAATTAAAGCTAAATAGCCAAGTTAGTACCCATTTTCAAGGTCTAACTTCATAGCTGGTTAGATAGCTTTTCATGGTGTGATAGCTACCTTGGCACATGCATCTGGTTTTAATGTAGCTATGCAGTTTTCCAGTTAATTGTACAGTGCCTGTAATACATAAAGCAGCCCTAGATGTCAGGATAGGGCTGTAACCAGAGTCCAAGTTTCTGCAAGCAAGCTGTCAGCTTGTACTATCCAGTTTCTGCCAGCTGGGGGCCTAGGTCACTCAAGCCAATCCTTAGACATCCTTAGCCTCTCAAGGAATGCCTTAAAAGTACTTTCACCTGATCTGTTTATCTACATTCTTCTATTACATTCTCAAGGACCACATGTATATTATGCAGATAAACAGATACACGTTTAAGGGAAGAGATTATCAGGCCTAACGTCATTCTTGAGTTTTATTTTCCCAGCTCTGTCAAAAGACACACTCAAGGGGGCAAAGAAAGCACTTCAAAGATGACCAGGCCAACTTGAAAAAAATGCAACATCAACATCAACTTATGGGAGACTATCACCCAGGACCACCCCAAATGAAGGAAGAGTCTGCTGCAAGGATCTTAGTACTTTGAAAGAATGACAGCAGGAGATGGAATGATGGGAGCAAGAGAAACAGAATCTTGCAGACCAGACCAAGAACCCAGAGCCACCCAGCCCACATGGAAATGTTTGCCCAAGCTGCAACTGTCTATCGATCCTAGATAGGCCTGTCAGCCATCTTTGGACCCACAGATAAGACAATCAGGGAAGACAATCATCTTCAACTGCAAGGGATGGCTGTTGATGACATTTAGGAAATCTTTACATGATCTAAGACATGTAGGCTACTAATCCTTAGCTTTCAATTATTCCAATTACTCCAGAGAAATAAAAGTCTGTTCAGAGATGACAAATATCAAGCGCTTAAGATATTTCTTCCAACTAAAAGCTTCTTCCTTTGAAATGTAAACCAAATTTGTTTGTGGATGGACCTCAGCTCAAGTACCCACCTTGCATAGCCATCTTAAATCCAAATTCTCATTTGTCTGAAGTACTGGTCTGGAGAGTAACACTTTATTTAACAAATACCTTATAGCTCATTACAAGTCAAACTTTGAAATGACAAAATTATAATTGCACCCCAAACTGTAGTTCACACAAGCACACCTTATTTTCTCACATTCCACACACACCTGTTTTCTGAAAAATCAGCTTCTGGCTGCAATGGCTGATTAGGTAAACCTGCCACACTCACTGACAAGCTCCCATGGGGATAAGGGAAACTATGGAGATAAGTTCTATCACTTTCTGGTTGGCAAGCATGGTTTGTGGCAACTTTGTCATGCTTCAGCCAGGGAGCTGTGCACATGTGGCCATGCATATCGGACATTTCCGTAACACAACATAATTCCATAGTATCTATAGTGTGTGAAAATAACATCTGCTTAAGCCCTAAAAGAATCTATTTGTAGGCTGATCATGTATATCTAAGACTGACTAGAGCTGTAGATCAATTCAGAGTAACATTCATTTCCCAAGGTCTTTTAATGAACAATGCACCTTGCCCCACTCTTTGTGGGTACTGTGAGAGAGCCAATTTAACAAGAGTTAAATTTATAGCAAAGAAACACCAGATACAATAGAAAGGTACCAAAACACATGACTAAACTGTGAAAAGCCCTGGAAAAGTAAGGTCCTTAAATATTTAGTGATCTATAATATAGTCAGGTTTAAAGACCTGGGATAAAAAATAAACTCAACTAAGCTTATTGCTGCAGAAGAACGTACAGTTAGGCTTAGCTTTATCCTTTTGCAAATCTGAAAGGAAAACTTTGAAAATGAAAACAAGGATATTTAATCATTTAGATCATTTAGACTGATGTTCAGAAGGACATCTGGTAGGTTAGAAAAGACTAATATTTAATTACTGACATATTATGATCCAAGAAAATTACAGATTAAAAAGTGTTTTATTTTTAGTAAGAATACCTTTGGCAATTGTAATTTCTTCACTCTTCTTCCTTTTTGAACATATTTTTTTGCAGTTCTCACTTGTGGTCTTGCAACACCCAGTTTCACCACCTCTGCCCAGGATTTTGCAACTGGAATGCAAAAAAACCAAAAAACCCAAAACATATACATATACATACACACACATCCATAGCAGTTCTCTCAGGAGTACTAACAGCAGCCCATAATTATTTCCCTATAAGTCCCATTTGTTATGGAATTTGATTTAGAAGATTAAGCACAGCAATACCTACACTTGATGCTACAAAACAATTTCACTGTAGCAACACATTTTCAGCTGCAAATAAATTTGCAAAAATGTACCCATCTGAATGGGCATTTTTCATGCCAAGTGTCTGCCTCAAACATACTTTTTTTTTTTTTTAAGGAGTTTCAGTAAAGGTGATTCAGCCATCTGCAAAAAGAAAACTTAACAGTTCCTTAACTTCGTATACCACAACTCCTCATTAGATCCTTTTTGTCACTTACTGTTCTTACTGACCAAATATTTAGGAAAAAAAAAATGTTAAATTTAACAATCTTAAGTTATCTTTATAATTTCTGCACAGGATAGCGACGAGGGAATTAGTCACAATTATATAGTGAAGGAAGCTGTGGGACCCATGCCTCAGTCGTTGCAGAAGTTGGAAAGTATATAGTAACCGAGTCAAGTCTTCAGAAATTAAAATAATATTTTGTAGTTAAAGTCAGGTTAATTGTATTCTAGATAACTGGGTATTTATTTTTACCACAAGGTTCCTATGGGATTATGTTAACAGATATTTGCCTAGATATCTGTTCCTCATCTTCTGAGTGCCCTATATTAAACACCTCAGAACTAAGTAGAAGAAATACTGATACAAATCAAGTTTAGGTGCATTTTGGAAGGTATAGTCAAATTATTAGGTACAATACAGTGGTAACTGAATGAAGTTTATTGGCCTGTGATAGTGATAGACAGAACTTCAAAACTAGGATCATCTGAAAGTCACTTCTGGCTGTAAAATGTGTTTTGCAACATTCAAGTAGGGATTCTGTATCAGGTATAGAGAATAGAGCAGTGGCAGGCAAAATACAGCCAACGGGCTGGATGCAGCCTGCCAGGCTATTCTATCCAGCCCACGGGGCCCCTAAAAAATTCAGAAAAATGTATTATCTGCTTGTGGGTGCCTGTCAAAGATGACACGGCACCAGCAGCAGTAGGACCCAGTGGGAGCCTACAGCAAGACCTAGGACCAGCAGGATCCAGCAGCTGCAGTAGCCCCGCCCAACCCTACCCAGAAGCCTCTCCCTAGCAGAGGCTTCTAGCCTGAGACCCTGGAACTGTTCCCTGCCTCCCTCTGCCTGAGAGTGGAAACCAGAACAGAGGGAGGGTGGGGAGGGAGGCAGGGGAGGACCATGGGTGATTGCCCGTCCTTGGGGCTGGGTCAGGCCAGCTCCTGCTGAGTCCTACTGTCCGGCGATGCAGCCAGGAACCACATGGTACCAGAGCAGAGTGTAGGGCAGGCAGGCAGGGAGAAGTAGCAGTGGCAGGCAAGGAAGAGGAGAAATGGCAGTGGGGGAGCAAGTGGTCGCAAGCGGGTGGGCAAATGTGAGTGCAGCAATAGCTGGGCAGGAGTGCAGGGTCTGCTCCAGTGCCCTGGGGCCAGGGCAGGCAGGGGCCCAGAGCAGGTTGGCAGGAACACGGGGCTCAGGCTGGCAGGGGCTCTATGGAGATGAGCCAGCTCTGTTCTCTCCCGGCTGGCGCAACCCAGCCCGTCTCCATACAGCCCTGCCAGCCCGGGCCCTACACTCCTGCCACCCTGCTTTGGGCCCGTGCTAGGCCAGTGCTCCCACCCAGCTGTTGCTGTGCTCATGTTGAGCCCCAGCTCAAGTCTGGGATCGTGCCCGGTATGCAAAAGCCAATAAAGATACCAGGGGTGAAAGTATAAAGAAGATTTATTGCTAGCAATACAAGGTGCAAGCGGAATAATTTCACGTAACAAGCACACAGATTCTTAATTCTAAGCATCTTTTATACAGGAGTATTGGACCTTCATAAGCATTCTTGTTTGCTAATTGGTTATAAGGGAGTGACGCAAGGAGTTCTTTACTGAGCATGTCTCTATACCTGTGTTTTAGCTATGTATCTCATTTACATACATGTATGTTTCATTAGCATACTTTCTCCCCACCTAGGGGTGTGATTTTTAATATTTAAATTAGCTCTTTGCCCTAGTCCTCTGATTCTGCTTTTGTTTCAAGCCTCCTTTATCTAAGACTGTCTCCTCCTTATCATTGCAGATGGGCATTAGTTACATAACAGAGACTTTTGCTTGGGCTTTGTATAGTAGTTTCTAGGTCAAACCTGACACTCATACCCGCCCACTTGCTGTCATTTCCCTACTTTCCTACCCACCGCCGCAGCTTCTCCTCACCCCCCTTCCACCAGCACCGTGTGGTTCCCAGCTGCACCACCGGACTGCAGAACTGAGCAGGAGCCAGCCCAGCCTCTGTGAAGGAAGCAGCGGCAGCAGTGGGCAGGAAGGTAGCAAAGAGGCAGGAGAAAGGCCATAGTGGCAGATGGGGAAGGGAAGTGGTGGTGGTAAGCAGGAGCAGGGGGCCCATGCCAGTGCCCCGGGGTCTGGAGCAGCAGGAGTGCGGAGCCCAGGATTGGAGGACGGCTGGCAGAGGCTCCACCTGCCGTGGGGGCTGTGAGCAACGAGTGAAAGTGACAGTGTTCATAGGGCAAGTTCTACACACACATACACACACACACACACACACACACACACACACCCACACCCCCCCACATGCCCACTCACACTGCTACATACGCAGACCCCGCACCCACTCACACCCTAGCAACCCTCCTCCTCCACACATGCGACAACCCTTTCCAGCCACTCTCCCCCACACACTCACACTGCCCCCACTCCACATAAAACACCCACACCCTCCCACACCTATCCACCTTTGCACAAACCCCACCACATCCCAGAAACCTATACCCACCCACAACCCCCAACAATATACAGGAGTAAGACTTCATTTTAAGCTGTTATAAAATTATGTATACATACACTACACAAACGCATGTAAAATCAGGAGAAAAATATTTTTTGAAATCAAATCAATTAATGCTGTAGTAGATGTTTCATTTTTAGAATATAATTTGGTATTTTTCTGGTTCTGAGATGGCAAACCCCCTTGCTTAAAGGAGTACTTCCAGGGGCAAGGGGAGGGACTTCTGGTGGCAAAGGTCAGGGGTTTTGGGACAGGACTTCTGGTCCCAAAATGGTGACCAGGGGGTGGGCCCCTGTTAAGGGGCAGGGCTATCCATACAGCTCTCAACAGCTTGCCAAAGCTGAGTAAGCAGCCCTCCAGGCAACTGCCTGCCCCAGAAAAGCATAAAACCATACAATGAACAACAAAGCTAAAAAAAGCTAGAAATAGACTAGCTACTTCTCCTATGCAATGAGAAGGAAGAATTCATGTAATTAAAGATGCAACAGAATGAACAGACACAAGGAAAAATAAACTAAGCTTGCCCAGACAACCTTCATTCTAGCACTTCCCATTCTTGAGTGCTCGACTTTGCCACCTTAATTTTTGCAATTATTTCTATATGTAGATTTTAAAAACTTGCAAATCTAATTTTCAAGGAGACCCAGACTGAGAGAGAAGATATTGCTGCTTATTCAGCAGCCTCTGTAAAATAAACTACTTGCTTTACTTTGGCTCTCTTTAAAAGTACTAAAGTTAACTAGTTAAATACGCACCTAGCAAATTGGCATCAGAAGCACCACTCCTTCGTTTAGCATGAACAGCTGCCACAGCACCACTCCTCCTCTTCCCAGGAGTTCTCTTTGCAGTAAATCTTGCACTTTGCCTTGTTACCTGTTTAGGTGTAGTGGGTACAGAAATCTTATGATCCTGGTTAACATGAAAAGATTCAAGTGTGTTGGCATAAGTAAAATCTCTTGCATTTACATTAATTTTTTCTTCAATAGAACCCTGCTCCTCTGAAGTTGGAGATGGTGTGCTGATGTGAGAAACTGAGAAGCGTCCTCTTGTAAAAGATGCATTTGAAGGGGTGCTTGCAGAGAGTTTAGATGACGTATTTTCAAGGCCAGGGGAGGCAGCTGGGGACCTCCGGGCAGCCGGGGACCTCCGGGCAGGCGGCGAGGCAGCCGGGGACCTCCGGGCAGGTGGCGAGGCAGCCGGGGACCTCCGGGCAGCCGGGGACCTCCGGGCAGGCGGCTGTTTTGGTGACAATTTTTTTTTCTGCAAATGCTCAGAAAGTTCCTAAAGGAAAATAAACTCTTGCTATTAAAGGTTTAAACACAAGTTCTTTTGTTGAAGTAAATACAACAATGAAATATCACAAAACCTTAGGTTTACTTCTTTAAAAACTCAAGTTAAAACATTTTAAACACTTTAGTTTCAAAACCATTGTGAAAGGATAAGACATAACAATGCCATAGATTACACATCAGTGGAAGACACACATTAACTATACACCCTCCCCAAATGCCACTCCAATCCCTTCCTTTTACCTAACCTGCAGCTAGGCTTCCTACATCCCACCCTGTGCTTCCTGATACTTTGCTTTCTGCTCCCTGCCCTACCTGGCACTGTGCTGTGTGTCCCCACCCTAATGAGCCACACAGAGGCTGCACATGCCACTTCTGCCACCTGTGACACAGGTTGGCCACCCCTGCATTACATAACTTAAAGGTTTAAAACAGCTGTGGTTTACACAAGTTTGGGAGTAATTTTCCAACAAATTTCAATTCTTGTCAATACATATTTTATAGATACTGATGGATCAGGGCCCCTAGATTCTACTGTCATGCAAAGGAAGTATAGGTGACAAGCAATAACAAAATACCTCTCTCAAAGAAGGGAGGGCAGGGTTGCACATTTATAGACTAACTGTTTCAGAGAGGCTTCATAAATAAATGTCTAAGAAAGCAAACTGTCACCTATGAAAAGCTTGTTTCACTGAACCTGTTAGTGCATAAATGTGCCATCCTGCCCTGCCTTCTGTCTGACTTCAGACTAAGACACTTAATGACTACTTCTCTCTCTGTCTCAAGTAAGTCACGGATAGCCTACTTTCATAGATGGAAGTTCTAAAATACAACAGTCAACTACAATGAGAACATCAGTATTCAAATACCATTTAAAGTTGCAAGTGAAATGCCAGGCTTTTCTAACCTTTAATATTTACCTTAATTACACAACGTTTGAGCCCCTGAGCCTTCTTCAGAACTGCACGAGGTGAATTTCCAAATGGTAAGCTAAGTCTTGCTGGAATTGCACCTCTTTTGAGGGGTGAATTAGGAGGCAAACTCTTATCAAAAAGTTCAGGACTCAGATGACCACCAAAAGACACTCTCTTCCTTTTCCCAAGGGGCTGAAGTGACAAATCACTGTTACCACTTTTTCGTTTTTGTGGTGACCTCTTCAATTCACCTACAAACCAAAGCATTGAAAAAAAATGTCTCCATACATGTAGGAATCCAGAAAAACTATACTCTACCCAGGATATAAAAAATAAGTTTTTAACTTCTTAAAAAAGTTTGAGGCATATTCAGTGATATAAATAATAAAATGTATACCCGTTTTTGCTTGTGTACCAGTAAGCATATCTTTACAAAATACAACTAAAGGGTATACACATTTTGTCAAGCAGGTATTAGTTATGGTTAACTATAATTACATAACATTATTTAAGGATGGATGTGTCAACAGAAGGACACTTCTTTACCTGCATAAAACATCAAAGAATATCCCCAAATAAATTCAAAATATAGCTTTTAACAATCATATCAGAAGCACTTACCTGACTTTTCTATTTTAGCAGACAGACCACAAGCACTCATTTCAGAAAGGATCTCATCATCTTTCAATACAACGTTTTCAGAGCATCTTCTTTTTGATGACAGCCTATGACATCTTGGCATAATAGAAGCATCTTCCAAATCCAATTCCTGTTGGCAACTCTTTGCAGCCAACTCCTCTTTGTTGCTGTCTACACTCTTGTCATGTTCTTGAGATGAATCTCTCTCCAGTGCCTTTTCTATATGCTGTCTAGAGGTCCTTGGTCTACCTCTTTGAGTCCCAGAATGAGATTTACAGATGCTAGGAGATGCATCCTTTGTTTCTATCTTTCCTGGAGAAAGCATTTCTGAATGCACACTTTTACTTCTCAGTTCCTTATTTTGACTACAACTCCTTCTGGTGCTTTGGAAACTACTCTTCCTAGGAGAAGGAGTACGAGTTTCAGAATCTTTCTCTTTTGAGGCAAAATAAGTCTCATCATGAATTTCTTTCACCACTTCTTCTGCACTTAAAGATTTTACTGGTGTAAGCGGTTTACTTGTTCTCTTTTGTTTAGAATTTTTATTCATTTCTGCCAAAACACACAGTTCATTTCTATCACTTTTGCACACTACACCCTTTTGAATTTCAGATTGAATTTCTGTTGATTGCTTAAGCATTAACAAGAAGTCTTGTCCAGTTAGTGATCTGTCTGTACTTATAGAACTTGTTTCATTGGTCTCTTCTGTAGATGAGCTTGAATGAGACCAACGACCCTTCCTTCTAGACCTTGGTGTAGATGCAGAGTATTTAGCGGTTTCAGAAATGCTTGTCAAGCCATCTTCATTAGCTGCCCCTGTTGAGTGCGTAATTGGTGTTCCAGGGGGGAGTACTTGAGCAATGTCTCCCAAGGATTCTATAGTACATGACTTAGGAGAAAATGCTGCTTTTTGGTCACTCACTCTCTTTAATTTAATTTCAATACACTTAGTCACTTCAGATTTTCTTGATACATTTTGTTCATAGGTTTCAGCAGAGTCCTGCAAAGGCAAGTCATTTTTTTCTTCTAAATCTATTGGTTTCTGATTTGTAACAACAGTTCGATGACTTCCAGAAAATCTCTTCTCTAAACCATTTTGTTCAGTAGTAAACTGATTCGGTTCCAAGCCATGTATGTTTTGTTTAACTTTACACTCTTTAGCATCTTCCCTAATGATTGCGTCCATCTTAATCTGGCTCCCCTGACCAGGTAGACATCTTGATATATTTGTTTGCTGTTGTATGTTGTTTTCTGACTGACTTTTGTTAATTGCATTCTCATGCTTCAGATATTCATAAATTTGGCTAAAAGGAGACATCTTATTTTCTTTTTTGACAGACGTGGGTGTTCTGAATGCAGACTTGGGTGTTGCAGGTTTCTTGGCTGATTTAGGTCTGGTAATATTTTCCTCAGTGCTTTGCTTATTCTCACCAGCGTTTTGGCCTTCACACTTACTGTCATCTATACAATAGTAAAGATAAAAAGAACCACCCACATATGTATTTTACAAAATGGTAGACTAATATTATAAAAAAGAAGAAAAACAGATTTCCCCTTAGATAATATTTTCTGTTTCTGTATTTGTATTTACAAGAGCAATCAGGAACTACCACCAGGATAGAATTATCAGTTTTGGTAGTTTTGCCTACCAAATGAAATTTGTTTAGTCTCATCATTTACATTTTTCTAATAAACTCACCAATAGTAAAACTGTTAAGACTAAACTTAAAATTTACTTAAAGTTAACTTTACTTAAAGTTAAGTACTAAAACTTAAAAACTTAAAGTTTACTTTTGACTTACTTATAACTAAGGCAGTTCAGACTTTAGAGCAGGGGTTGGCATTTTGTTCGGCATGCGCGCCTCAGGTGGTAGATGGTGGGGAAGGGGCAGGGTCTTTGCTGCCACAACAATTGGGCCCTTCGTAGCTCCACCACTGTACACCTACCACCAGCAATGAGCTGGGCTGGGGCTCTGCAGACTTCAGTGCAGCAGTTTGCAGCCTGCCCGGTTCACTGCTAACAGTGGGTGCATGGGTGATTTGGGGTGGACAGAGGAGCTGCAAGGGGCCCGATCCTTATTGTGGCCACACAACCATTCCCCTTCCCCACATTCCACCCCAAGCTGCACATGCAGTAGCCACTAGCGACAAGCCGAGCCAGGGCTCTGCGGACCTCGGTGCAACAGATTGCAGCCTCCTGGACACCTGCCACAGTCAACCCAAGCTCTGGGCAGGCCTGTGCTGTTTGCAGCAGGTGGCAGGGAAGTAGTTATCAGATCAGATATGCTTGTGGAAGGCCTGGGGGACGAAAAGGGATCTGTGGGCCTGATAAGGACTGCAGACCAGCCCCATACCACTGGTGCATGCCATGCCTGAAATGGGTCAGAGACAGAACCAGGGGCCAGATGAAAGAGCTTTACAGACCATGTCTTTAACATCCCTCATTTATGTTAAACAGTCTACGTGGCTTTTAAGGTCCTCCTCTTGGTATCAGTATTATTTAGCTGCTGACAAACACAAATACACTTTCCCCACACACACACACACACAAAAAAAGTTCAGATTCCATCAAAAGTTCAGGTGCAAGCATGTCACATTTTAAAATCTTTGGCTTTACAGAAAAAAAATTGTTGCTTTTTATAGAAAAAATCTTTCCGTGAAAAAGCAATGAAAAAAGCACATGTGCGACCTTCAAGCTGCTCCAAGTGACCTCTACTATGAGCAGCATAACAGTGTTATTTGTATTGAGCAGGTAATTTGAGGACAAGCTGATCCCCAGTCAGTCAGCTGTAAAAAGCAGACTGGAGAGACTCTACAGGCTCTTGCATTAGACGTACAATTGAGGGGCAGGGGGAAGATAAATCATTCTGAAGAAAATACCTTGAAGAGCAAGATGAATCTACAAAAAATCTACCGGGGAGTTGGAAATTTTTCCACGTAGTACTAGAGTAACTTGCATATCAATCAGTAGACTGTTGTCAAGAAAGGCCTTAATGAGTAATGACACTGCTGTAGAAAACCTATTACATTCTCTATATTAGCACTAGCAGTATAGCGGCATTAATGGAAGTGCAAGAACATTAAGTTAAGGAAAAACTAAAGCAGCTCTATTGTATAAAATTTGTAAATAGCAACTTTTCAGTAAGTGGGTCTACTCCTTATGTGCATCAAAAATATATTCTTGCATAAAAAGGTTACTTTTTTTCCTTTTGGTACTACAGAGCTGATATAGTATTAGCTCTGGAGAGTAATCTAATTTTATTTCAGCTCATACACCAGGGGCAGGCAATTATTTCAGGCGGAGGGCCGCTTACTGAGTTTTGGCAAGCCATCGAGGGTGGCATGACAGGTAGCCAAGGGCAGATAAATATTAATTTTCTAAATTTTTAGGGGCCCTGCAGGCTGGATAGAATGGCCTGGTCGGCTGCATCCGGCCCACAAGTCACATTTTGCCCGCCCCGGTCATACACAATCAGAATTGCTAGTTAAATCCTCAACTGTATGGATTAATTTGCCTTGTTATACTTATTGAATGTCATTGGAGGGCAGAATTTATATCTAAAAATTTGATTATCCATTATGTCAGTGGTCCCTAACCAGCCGATCTTAATCCACTGGTTGATCATGGAGCCTCTGACAGTCAATCTCAGTCTGTCAGAGGTTACCTGATCAGGAGCGACAGGACACATGCATCTAGGCTGAGCCACATCCCCTACCACCCAGGTGAGTGGGGTCAGAACCCGGGTGTGGCTTATCCAGGAGGTGGGGAGGCAGGGCAAGGGCAGGGGTTGTAGATCCTGGGGTGCCCTTTACTTATAAAAAGTGATCTTCACCAAAAGTTGGACACCACTGAATTAAGCAATAGTCAGAAAATACCAGTTTTGACTGAGAAGTGTGTGGGATTTGCAGGGCTGGCATCTTTAACACCATTTCTTTTAACCTAAATCAAACTTAATAAGCAATCCACTGAAATTATAACAGTCCACCAATTCTATTTTCACCATCATTTTTCATAGTACAACCACATTTTGAGTTTTCTAACATTTCTAAATGTTCTAAAACATTTGAGATTTCTAAATCATGGTGCCAAGCACAGGTTCTATCTGATCTATCAGCTCTCAAATAAATCTTTTGACATTTCCCTTATCCCCGTGTCTTTAACAAGCAAATTAAGCATAAAATGTGTCTATACATTATTGAAAGAAAAACAAAGATGAAACAGCTACCAACCAGAACCACGAGGACCTTTAGATCTTGCAGTCTCTGTAAGTAATGATTCCACTTCTGCCACCTGCTGAA